GCTCGAGTGCAAGTTTCGTGTTAAAATAATAAACACATAGCAAAAATTGTAGCGCCATGTGCGGATCTCATCGAGGGCGAAGGCGAAGTGGCAGCGGGGTCATAATTCCATTACAGAACTACTTCGACTTGGGCCCTTTGCCGGGCACATAAATTATATTAAAAACAATATTTTCACCCGGCTTCGAACTCAAACTCGAACTCGAACTCAACTGAACTTCACACGGCAAAGTTTTGGTCCCTCGATTTTTCTCCACTCCGGTTTTTGCATTTTAAATTGCCCGGACAGCAAAATGCCGTGGCAAGCTTAAACAATTACCACAACTACAACAACAACAACGGCAGCGGCAGAGGCAGCGGTAACAGCAACTAAGAGCGAAAAACAATATGAAATTATTATAATGACAATTAGTGTTAATTGTCACTTTCGGCGCGGAATGCTGCTTTCGGTCTCTGTTGAATTATAATTTGCCCAGTTTAGAGAAAATTTGCATTTTAAATGAGTTTCTTTTTGTTCTCCCTCGTGTTGTTTGTTGGCCTAAGCAAATAATAATAATAATAATAATGCAACATGAAAGTCAATGAGAAATTAAAAATTGTAATTACTCAATTATTTTGCATAAATCAAAACAAAGGCAGATGAAATGCCCCTAAAAGTTGAGTTTTCGGGGTTGAGCGGGATGGGAATGAAATGGAGGCTACTTAATGACAATTTTGTGGAGCTCGTCAAATTGTGGGGTTTTATTAGCGGGGGAGGCCGGCCCATAAAGATTTTAATGATTTGCAGTGGGCGTAGAGCAATTAAGCCAGTTTGAGAAAATTTAATTAAAGCCACGACAAAAACACTTCGGTGCCTATTGTTGGCTCGAATAAATTGAAAACCATTCATTATCAATCCAGGAAAAGAATTAAATTTGGAGCTGGGGAAATTAGAAGGAATAATTAAGCCAACTGACACGACGAAGGGAAGGAATATTGAGTGATAAATGTATCTCAATCTGCGCATGCCAAATTTATCTGACAGTCGCTTCCTAATCCTTTTGTGATTACTTCGAGCCATAATTTAGCATTTGTCAGTTGTCGTTTAGATTTAAGTGCCAAAGTTTGGGGATAACGCAGGAAATCATTAAAAATATTTCAATGAGTTGGAATTGACCGACGCAGCAATAGAATTCCAAATGGAAACTTTACAATTTTAACTTTTTTGAGTTCTTTTTCTCTTCCATTCACTCGCATTAAGCAAAGTTAAAAGAGGAAAATAAAAATCAGAGCTCTGAAATCAAATTGAAATGACGCACTTAATGGCATTTTATGGTTTATGCGCAGTATTATTATTCCACCTCTACGACGCCCTTTCCTTTCCCCATCTCATCTTTTTATATCATTCTCCCCCGATCAAACACTTTTTGCCCACGAAATCATAGATTTTCCTCCCGAAAAGTTTCCTTCTTCTCCGGCGAGTCCGGCGGGTCAGAAAAAAGAGGGGAAGAGCAAGTGACGTCATCGCTTCGTTGTGGTCGGTCTTGACTCTTTTTGGCCAATTGGTAATTTCGTTATTAGTCACGCTCTTTGCGCTTCATTAATGTTCATTACACATAAATGAACCCACATCGATTGATATTTTTCAACTTCGTCGTCGCCATCGTCGTTGGCGGTTTTTAGTGGCCGTAATTTTTGTATTGTGGTTGACGTTTTTGCGGTTTTTCCTCACCACCCCCTCCCTCTTCCCTCTTCCCGCTTCCCCTCCTCTTTGTCTGCACAGGAAAATACGTGCGTTCCGCTCCCCGCGCAATTTTATTTATTTACGAACCCAAAAGAAGGGGCAGCCAGCGAAAAGGGTTGCTCGCATGGCCAATTTCCCCCGACTGATACAATTAATTATATAAATAAACGTTTTTATTTATATTTATAGGAAAATTGGTCGAGACACAAACTTTGAACTTTTCCGAGATCAAGCCCTCCGCACATATGTTCCTCGTGCGAGTATCCGTATCCCCTCCTTGCAGATAGGGGTTGCTCCACGGCCGGGAATTTATTGTACACGCTTAATTGAACACTGGAAACTCGAAAGGTTGAGCAGCTGATTGACTCCGCCTCCGAGCGGAGCACCGAGCACCCTTGTGCCATTTTTTATTCAATTTTTTATGACCTTTCGCTGGAAAATTGTGGGTCGTGGGTCGCGGGGGGTTGGTTGAGAGAAATTCTTGAAATCGCTGAAAGTTATTTAAAATAGGATTTCATATTACGAGCTTAAACAGCTGGAAATTCTGTTTTGGTGTATTAAAAATGCAGGCGCTGCCCGGGTTCATCTCCTGGCGAGGTTAATTCCGGGCATTATTGGGGGAAGTGGGTCAGATCTGGTAGGGTGTGCTGAAATGATTATGCCACTTGAGCGGCTTAGACTGATAAATTTATACGGCAGGCTTGAGTGCGCTTTGAAGTGGCACAAAATCGAAAAAAATAATGTGTGATGGCCAGGAGATTAGATTTGAAAGTTTGGAAAAGGATCAAAATGGAAATCGGCTTAAATGGTAAACAATGAGTAGAGGCACTCGAAAGAGTTTGGGTATTTCATTGAAAACAAGGAATAGGTACTCAAAATAGAAGTGTAGCTCAAGGACAGCACGGAAAAGTCTTTTCTGGGAGGAATTATTCTCTGCTGTAATTTGCACAATTGCCGCTCGTTAAACGCGAAAAGAAAGTGGGCAGAAACAGAAGTGGTCGGTTTTAGGGGACGAAAGCTCTTGGAGAAACGCAAACAATTAATAAATTTTTAAGTGCATGGCAAATCATGCCCTCCACGCTGACCCCAAAGTTCTGGACAAACCAAACTCAAACCTTGCAAATGGCTCTGCACACAATACATTATTAATTTTCACCAGTCCCGCCCCTCGACCCCCGGATGCACAACAAACAGCGCTTAATTTGCCAAATGGTTGCTTCTGCTTTCCCCTCCGCCCCTTCTACACTCCCCCACTCCCCACTCCCCACTCCATTGCACTTAATGCAAAAAACTGCAAGTTGTAGTTTACTTTTTATTCATGGGACAGCGGGGGAGTTGCAGGGGACCAGCGGGGGGAGTGGGCGAGATGCAAACTACCTTGCCCAAAATGGCGGAAAAGCGGAAATCGGGGAAGAAGTGGGGGCTGAGCACAAAAGCAAAGCCGAAATGGGAAAACTTCTTACGCGGGAAGCAACGGAGAGATAACGTTTATAAGGACACAATGTAATGTTGGAAATCACGTTAAGCTCACACAAACAAATAATAAAAACCATCTGTGTCTTCACAATGCCTTTGTTTTTTACGCGCCATTTAAATTATACTAAATACAAGGTGTCCAGGATAACACATTAAATTGTAAGACTACATAATATAATTGAAAATATTGCAAGTTATCTAAATTATGCTGAACATATCTTGGAATCGAAATCAAAACACTCTCAGTGGTTGCAGGGTATCTTATTTTTACAAATAGTGGCAAAGCTGACAGCTCCCCCTTCTGAACTCCTTGTATCCACTCCCTACTTTAGAGCAAATTGTAGCGGCAAACTTAAACGAACTGCGTAGAGCGGGGTCAGCTAAAACAGAAATTCATTAAAACTTTGCATTGTGCTCCAAAATTGCCCCACAACAAATGCCGGCTAAAGCCCCAACAACATTAAGTACTGGCTTATTGTAAACTAATTTGTCTGGGGCGATTTGGCCAAAGATTTTTCCGGCAGGGGTCCCTTCACTCAGCCCATCCCGAAATCTCGGCCTTGCTGTTCCTGTGTCGCTGATGACGCGACAAAATCCAATTAATACGCTAGACAAATAAAATGGTCGGCTCCCTCCACAGAAAGTCCTTTGAGCCCCAAAGGAGGAGAGGGACTTGGCCGTTTAGATAAAGCAATAACCAAATGTGTCTACGAACAAACACACGCGACTCTGCATAACATTTTTTGCCCACCCCCGCACTTTTGGGTTAGTCAAACTTCAGGCACACTATATCTCAATATGTGAGCTCGCTTTGTGGTCGGGGCTCTCGGGTTCCTTTGGTCTTTGTCGCCATGTCTGCCATATGTGTCCTTTGCCTTCCCTTTCCGGGAAGTATTTGTTTGTGTGGTTGCGCCACGCGCTTTGTTTACTTAAGTTAACCAGAAAGTTTCTTTAAGATTTACGCTTAAGTTATACGTGATAAAACTTTTATCACCACGGCTTGTTACTTGCCCCTCCCCCTTCCTCCCATTTCTGCGACTTGATAGAGTGCTTAGAGGTGGCTGACGATGAAGAGATTTGGCAGCTAATTGCACAGCCAATTCGAACCGATCGGAATGGCGAAAGGGAGTGCAGCTAATAAGCGGCGGCAGGACTTAGCTGCTCGAGTGCAACCCCCAGTCCGTAATCCCTAATCCCTAATCTTTGGCCCTTGTTTTTCCGTCTGGGAAAGGATACAGCCTGTGGCCTGATTCCGTATGCTTGGCAGGCCACAAATTTCACTGTTTATATTTGTTTAAGGTTGTTGCCGAAGCAGAATAACTCGGTTCACAACACAGAAAGAAATGGTTTCCAGAAATGGATTGAGTTCAATCCAGTTGATTTTGATTACTGAAATCCGTTCAATGCCATACTATATGTTTCTTGGCAGCTTTTCTAATTATAGAAGTGCCGTATAAAGCAATAATAAGATATTTAACTTAAATTAGTTTTCAGTAATGTTGGGTTGAAATCTGTTCCTATATGTTAACTTTCTTGAAACTATTCCCCTCAGTGGAGTGGAGTTGCTCCCCCAGAGGAAAGTGGAAATCACTTGAGTACTTTTATGGCAGCCGCTTATATCATCGCAGTTCTGGCGGCGGCACTCTGAAACTTTTATTAACATAAACTATGAGTCAGTCAGGACGGCCCCCGCCGCCCGACGCCCGCAGAGGGCATAAATTTCACTCGGAGCTGGCAAAACTTTGACCAGCAGTACATCTATTAAACGCTGACTCCGAATGGAGCAATGGAGGCGAACTCACCGTGATGGCGATGTCGTGACTGGGGTCGCATGTGTCCAGTTTGCGGCGGAAGCGGAGGACCGTGTGCGTGGCATTCTCGTAGCCCAGCATCAGCATGTAATCCTGCGAGGGATCCACGACCGGCTCGGGGTCTCCATTCCGTGTGACGTGTCGATCCTGTAATTAAATGCAGCGAAAGCGAACGGGGATTAATGAATGGAAAATGCGAGAAAAATGTGAGAAAAATACTTAATTTACCCGGGACTTTTGCCTCTTTGTGGGAATGCTCTTGTGGGTCGCGATTTCGGGCATATTTTCATATCATTAAGCAGAAGGAAGACTGCTTGATTCTGCCAGCCGTGTTTTTATTGCTGACCCCCCGCAAAGTGCCCACTTTCCCAGCTGGAAGCTCAAGTTTTTCATATACATGTGCTGTACTATGTGCTCATATTTTTCCGAATATTTTTCGGTAAAATAATTTAAATTTTGCACTGAATTGGAGAAGGCCCTCGGCCTTCTCACTCCCAACTTGGCCCCAGTATTCTTGGCTTTTCCAAGTGTTTTGACAGAGTTTCCAAGTTTAAAGTTGTATAAGTAGTTTTGCCCAGGACTAAGGAAAGAAGTAGAAGAACGAACCCTTTCTCGGTTAAAAAATACAACAATTTTTCAGGGCTCCCTTCCCCATTCTCCCAACTCCCCAACTTTTCCCCCCGATTCCTTTGCACATGTTGGCCAGCCTCGTCGAACACAGAAGCCAGATATCCGTGGGTGTATGTAAATTCTTATACATATAACAACATGACCCCTGTCTGCCTGCTCAATATTTGGAAAATGTTCTCTCAGCTTGTTGTGGCTGAGTGCTGGGTGGTGGGTGGTGGGTGGTCGATAGTGGGTGGGAGATGGGTGGCTAGGTGCCGGGTAAAAGGATTCGGCTTTTCATATTGGCAGTTGACTGCAAATGGGCGTTATGCCTGCCGTCTTCCCTTGTCAGCCTCCGTCTCCCTGATCCTTTCCTTTCCTCTCCTCTTCATCTTTTTGTTGTTTGGCAAAAATTTTGATGATGTTGGCAAAGTCAGAAGTGAAGTGGTATGGGTTCTGGCGGAGATTGGGAGCCTCTTTCCGCCCACCCAACGTAATTGAAGCTGATGGAATTCGGGGAGTTGTCTTCAATGTGGATATTTCAAAAATGTTATTGATTTAATTATTTGTTTTCACATGGAACTGCGTAGGAAGGCCTCTTTCAAATATTCACTTTACCTTCGGTTCGGCAGAAACATGCAAAGGTTTGTTTTGGTTTCCACTTTGATATGATTCGATTGAAATTGTAGACTATTTTCTGACTGTTTTCATTTAAATTCTGAGAGGTTGGCAGATAAAATTAGTCGTGAATTACCAAACATTTTAAATCTGGTTTCAAGCTATGTTGATGTGGAAAGTGCGTTTGATTTCGAATAAGTTTCACTCGATTTTCTCGTTTTGCTTTCTATAATTTTCCACTTTTCATTTGGTAAATTGCATTCTCCATCATTTACAAGAAGCACGCAGCTGATGGTCAGTTTTTCTCCGCCCTCAGCCCTCCACCTGAGCATTTGATTTATTTGTGCTAATGCTCCATCTTTTATCACACTTAACAGGATGTGCACTTTCCCAAGCTGTTTTATCTCGGCTGACAGATTATAGCGCATAGAAAGAAGTTGTCCATCTGTCTTACTGGCGGGGGAGAATCGCCCCCCTCCCCTTCCACCCAACAGGATAGCGAAATGAGCGGTTTCCATCATCTAATTACATCGAAAATTTCCCACGAACACACACGCAAGCGGAGGGGCTGACTCACCCACACACACCTGAGGCTGTTGCAATTAATTTGCCCCAATTTATATCATCTGGATCCACTGCCGCGTGTTGTTGCCGACCGAATTACATGCCGGCATTTAATTAATCATATCTCAGGCCCTCCGCCATTTGCCATTTTAGTTAGCTAATTAAAAGTTTTTCTTCCTTTGCTCGCTTTGCAGTTGTTGTTGTTGTTGTTTTCGCTGCTGTTTCTGTGGCGAAACATTTAACATAAATTTTGTAGAAATACTTTCCATCTATGGGCCAGATAATTGTCCCCCTCTCGCTCTTTCCGTCTATTTGCTGTCCCTTTTCGGTTGGGTAATCTAGGAACGCATAATTCAAGATCGCAGGCGCGCAGTTCCTCTTCCCGTTTTGCCTGTTTTGCACAGCTTCCCTTTTAATTTAACATTATCTACCCACACCTGCACACGACCGCTCTCACACATACACACACACACAGTAACATAGATTTATACACATAGTCATACCCTGACATGTTTCTCGCTTATCTAAAAAAGAGAGAGAGACAGCGGCAACTGACGGAAATTAAAAATACGCGCTGCAATGTTGCAAGCACCCAACATGAAGCGACGTTATCAAAATCTGCGTGTGCGTGGGCGTGGTCCCTGGATGGGCGGTGGGGTGGTGGAGGGGTGAGGGGAGGGGAGGGGCGGAAGGTTACCCAGGGTCGTTGAGGGGTAATTATGCAAAAAGGGAAGGCGCATAAATTTGCAATATTCTTGGAGCTGCTCTCAAATGCCAACGACGTTTAAACTGCTCACAACTTTCTTTTATAGGTGTGTGGGTGCGCACCTCTGTATGTGTGTGTGTGTATGCTTGTAGCACAAAGACGTGGAAGAAGAAGCAGAAATGTCGCCAATGTCGAGTGAAGGAAATTCAGGGCATCTGAGTATGGAGTTCATGAGTTATCGCATTGAGTTTGCCATCATCCAGGATATTGCGCTAATAAATATGCAACAATTATTTGCATTTGCACTAAATCAAATCAGAAATTTAAATGCATGCAACTTAATACAATTAATTATTGAAGAGCATTTCCCTCGACTTGATTTGAAAGCCTTTAAACGCTTTAAGAACTTGGCTTTTGTAAAAGCAATTAGAAGCGTTGCTTTGTGCAAGTAAATTACTTTGAAACCTGCAATATATTTGTACTTTGCCTCGAGAGTATTCCTCAAGGAACTCTGTTGAAATTTGAATTTTCCACTTTCCTTTTAAGTTGCATGCCACGTTGACTTGGCTCTCCTGTTGTCCTTGTCGCGGGTCCTCGACGCTGCGTTTCTCCCACTCAACTGGAGCTCCCATCCTCCACATCCTCCCCTCCTTCCCCCTTCATCCGGATTCCGTTCCCGTTCTCGTTGGCGTTGTCAACGCACACGTTTTTTTAATTGCTGAAATTTTATCACACCTTCATGGTTCGCAGGACTCGTAAATTGTAATCCTTGCGCGGCTCTCGGCTCTCGGCGCGTCTGCCCGACTACTTCTGCTCGAGCAGACAGCTCCTTGCCCTGGTTTGGCCTTTTTGCGACGTTGTCATTAACGTCGCTGCCTCTTAAGCATTTAATAGCCTTGTCAAGACTTTAATGCCTTTTAGCCGGAGCTCCGCTTCTAATGTGTGCAGAGGCGGGGGGAAATCAATAAAAGCAGCGCACAAATTAAGCACCTTTTGAGCTCTCCCTCTCCGCCAGTCGGTTTACTTTGCTTTTCCAGGCCGCAACGTGAATTTAATAGGATTATGCAGCAGCCAGGATGCTGAAAGGGGGGAAGGGGCAGCAAACTTATGCAAAGTCCTTCCACTCTGTGTCGCTGTCGCTGCACTGCGGCGGAAGGGAACCCTTTCAGCCACCACACAACAGCCTAATTGTACCGATTTTCGCCTGATGGGAACTTTTCACACTCCCACTCGAAGAGCGGGAAGCGAGGATCTCCGCCCGAGCTTTGTTATGCCAAAAACAAACTTCGGCAATTTATGATAATTCAACGTCAGCTGGGACGGTTCAGTGAAGTACATAGAGGGGAGCCGTCATCACGGCAAACTCAGCTCGACTCCGCTCAAGTCATCTGAACTCAGCCGAACTGACAGCTGGCTAGCAAAAGCCTTGAAATATGCTCGGAGCACACATTAAACTTATTGCTACCCCCACCAGCCCCCCGCCCTTTACTCGCCCACTAATGCCCGGCATCGTGTACAGATTTACTCCAGAGCAGACGTACAGCAAAAGGGTTGGTCCTCCTCCCCCCGTCTCCAAGCTCCTAAAGTCGTATCTCCCACTGCACATATCACACGAATATCAAAATGTTAGCTCTGCTTTCTCCACATAGCCAGACGTACTAATAGTTGCCCTCGGAGAGTTGCCAGCAAAGTTCGGCGCAGTTTTCACGCTCCGAGAAAGGTTTGCAGCTTGCGATAGGTTTCTATGACTCAGATGGAGCGAGCTCTGGGGAAAACCCTGGTGGATGAGGGGCACAGGCGTGATGGATGACCCCGAAGCCAGAGGTATGCGAAGCTATTGATCTCCTGCTTCTCGGAAACTGTTTGATCCAACCTCTGCGAAGAACCCACTCCACCGCCTTGGCTGCTGTCTTAGCTATCTATTGCCATTTGCCAGTGCCAAAATTGTGTGCAGCTCACCCACTCCCACTACCGCACATCCTGTTAAGTTGGTGGCATTGTAAATTGTTTTCCTGTGCACTGCTTGTGTCCTTCCCTTCCTGCCCCATTTCCCTGCCCGCCTGCCGGCCTGCACTTGATGTATGCTAGAGCAGCTTCTTTGGAGACCGAGTTTTCCCGCTCACACACTGGCACACTCGAAGTCGCGCTTGTTTTGGCTTAGAATTGATGGCGTCGCCGCCGTCGTCGTTTGATGCCTTATGTACATTTGATTACGTACACGCCATGTTGCCTGCCTATTTGCCTGCAGGAGTGCACAAGTCTGCTCTGTGTAAACGCCACCCGCTCTCTGATTCCCGTTTTCCGTTTCCCGTTTGCCGCTCCCCCTTGTGTCAGCGGCAAAAAGAGAGCGCGCCTCCGGGCAAAGTCATCAAGGAGCGAAATCTCCACCGGGAGTCGGACCCCAGTCCCCAGTCCCCATCCCTAGCCCAATCCCGACCAATTCCATTTCCAAATCCGCCGCCCTCTCGAAGGACTGATGAGGCTGATGGGAAGGCAGGCAGGAAGGAGGGGGCAGGCTGATGATATTGGCATTGGCAGGCGACTTCAGTTGGCTTAAATTACCGCTGCGAGCAAGTATATCAATTAATATAGTTAAAGTGGGTTCAAGGGGCTGGAGTGCCAGGAATTGCAGTGAAGCCTCGGCCGAAAC